CAGGTTAAAGTTTTTGGAGCAAGTCCATTCCCAAGGAACTTTAAGCCCTACCCAAACCAAACTTTCACGAATGATGCATCTAGGGATGAACACTACCAGCCTTGCTTCGGATGCTGGATCTGACCCACATTTTCCAGATGAGTTACCAGGTAAAAGTTTTTGTAGGAGGTCCATTACTAAGAACTATAAGCCCTACTTGAACCAAACTTGCATGGATGATGTATCTAGGGATGGACACTACCAGACTTGCTTCAGATGCTGGAACTGACCTATATTTATATGTAAACGAAGTTTCGGGGGTATATAGTTTTTGTCGTGTCTGTCTGTCTGTCTAGCTGTCTGTCTGTCTCTCTCTGTCTCTCTGTTTGTCTGTTTGTCCGCAAAAACTTTAACCTTGCCCATAACTTTTGATTCAGTGGAGCTATGACTTTCATATTTCATATGTGTATTCCTTGTGACAAGACCTTTCTTTTGGTACCACTAAATTTGACCTTTTGACCTTGACTTTGAAATTTGACCCACTTTTACATGAAAATTTTAAAATTTTACTTTGGCCATATCTTTTGAACAGTAGACACCAGGACATTTATACTTCACATATGTAATGTTTGTTAAAAGACCTTTTACTAGCTACTAACAACCTTGACCCTTTGACCTTGTAGATTTCTGTACTTGTAAAAAAACTTTAACCTTGGCCATAACTTTTGAACGGTAAGGGATAGGGCTTTCATACTTCATATATGTAATCCTTTTGAGAAGACCCTTCATTGGATATGAAGATCCTTGACCCTTTGACCTTGACCTTTGAGATTGACCTACTTTAAAAAAGCAAACTTGACCATAACTTTTAAAGACTTAGGGCTTCTGCTTTCATACTTTATATATTTGATCTTTATGACAAGACCTTTCATTTGATAACAATAACTTTGACCCTTTGACCTTGACCTTGGAGTTTGACCTACTTTTTAAGAAAAGTTTTAAAATTTTACTTTGCCATATCTTTTGAACAGTAGACACCAGGACATTTATACTTCACATAAGTAATGTTTGTTAAAAGACCTTTCACTGGATACCAACAACCTTGACCCTTTGACCTTGACCTTGTAGATTTCCATACTTGTGAAAAAACTTTAACCTTGGCCATAACTTTTGAACGGTTAGGGATAGGGCTTTCATACTTCATATATGTAATCCTTGTGAGAAGACCCTTGCTTGGATATGAAGATCCTTGACCCTTTGACCTTGACCTTTGAGATTGACCTACTTTAAAAAAGCAAACTTGACCATAACTTTTAAAGACTTAGGGCTAGTTGCTTTCATACTTTACATATTTAATCCTTATGACAAGACCTTTCATTTGATAACAATAACTTTGACCCTTTGACATTGACCTTGGAGTTTGACCTACTTTTTAAGAAATTGAACGTTGACCATAACTTCTGAACGGTTAGGGCTAGGGCTTTCATGCTCTACATAAGTATTTTATGTGGCAAGACCTTTCATTTGATACTAATTACATTGACGTTTGGACCTTGACCTTGGAGATTTTTGTACTTATTAAAAACCTTTAACATTAGCTTACTTTAAAATTTCACAATTGTTTTCCAGTGAGAATACCCTACTTTTGGTACCAGTTGATTAAATTTGCATTTAAGAAAAGCTTTATCTTTGCTATGTTGCCATACGGGGGCATCAGTGTTTTACAAACACATCTTGTTTTTCCCAAGTAACTATAAGCCCTACCTGAACCAAACTGATCAAATTTTATACACATAAAAATTTTCATGTTGCTTTTCTTATATATCCTCGGCGGGGCATTCTTGTCCTATGGACATATTTATAGTTTAAGATAATTTGCTAGATTTGCATTTCGCTAAAATTTCCACTTGACGGTATGCACAATAACATACACATGTAGTCTCAAAGTTCTTACCCTGTCTCTGATGTACAACAAAATGTCACAAGCTCAATGAAGTTTAGTGGAATTTATATAGTCTGAGTTGATTTTTTCAAAAATCATTCATTTGTAAATTATTCTATTTAAATTTTAAAGAAAATTTTGACCCTCAGATGATCTAATTATTTTGCTTTTAATTATTTTTTTAGCACAAGAGGTGTTGAATCTGAACATCACCAGTACACTGCTGGAACTTTACAACCAGACTAAGGTGACATGGTCTGAGGATTACTATAAACAAATCATGTAAGTTTACCGTCAGTACACATTATCTTTTACTAGCTAAGTGTTTTTTATATGCGTTTTCTTTTAAAATCTTTAACTAGGTATCTAATATCAGAATTCAAAAAAAAAAAAATTGAGATATTATTGGATATTACTGTTATCTCAACACCAATCAGTAAAGACTTCATAATAATGAAGCCATAACTTTTGGCGGATTTTCTTTTTCGTATTTTTCTCGATGGCCTGATGCAATGCTCTTTTCAGCCCAGCAAATTCCCAGAACCAGCCCCACCAGGCTAGCCGTACTGCTGTGAGCTGTCAGAGAAGAAGAGTTCCGTTTGTTCCCTTTATGTTGTCCAATGAAACAGGATGTACTCTCTGGTTCACCACGGTGACCACCACTCCAAGGTACACAGCACTGACCAGTCAGAATTATTGTTTTAGGCATGTCATTCTTACTGATAGTTGGGGGTGGGTTTTGGAGACAAGAAAAAAAAGTAAAAAGTCTGATGTGACACATCCAGACAGAGGAAATCTGTACAGGGAAATATCTCGAGCAATTTAAAAGAAGTCAGTAGGCAGTTCAAGGATAAGATACTTTTGCGGTGGACAATGATGAAAGTCTTCTTTTAGGAGTCGTGTTCTGCTTTTAGCTTTAAATTTTCCTGAGGCCTTGAAAATGATCTAGGTCTTATAAAAATTAAATAAAACCAAAATTTAATCCATTTGTAATAGATGCTATCGTGTGAAACACAATATAGGGGACAGTAAGGTTGCACTTGGGGGTAAAAAATTAATGTCTTCGTTTTGCCCCAAAAACATTTTTTCTAAAAAGTAGAGTATCTAAAGGATCTCAAGCATAAACAGTTTTGTGAAATTCACATTAAAACTTTGTTTTTTACAAGCTGATAATAACCTCATTTTCACAGGTTACGGACACTACAAGTGTTGTTTTCTTTGAAATAAATATTAAAAACTGTTTATATGCTCTAATTTTTTCAAATGCTTACAAACAAAGAACATATATAAATAAAAAATAAGGACAAAATTTTGACTAAAAAAGGTGGCATTGTACTTTAAAATTTAAACAGTTCTTACTTCGTACATTTTTGTTCAAAATTGTAGTATTTCATTTCATATGAACTCTTTAAAACCGATATAAATAAAGAAAAAACTATTTATAAATAACACTTTTTATGCGTTTAGTGAGATATAAATACTTCCATTAAAATAGGACATTTCATTTTTATAATTTTTCTAAAATTATTTGATAGCTTCATTAAGTTATGGACACTACAAAACCCAAATATTTATGATTGGCATTTGGTTTGTGGTAAAAAAAAACAACATTTTATCAACTTCTGAACTATTATAAACCAGATTTAAATGATTATTAAATACAAAGTATATACAAATTAAATATTGTTTCAAGTAAAAACAATTTACTTGCAGAACCAATGCCAATAGAAAAATATCAACTTTAGGAAATACTGAAACTTCCTTCTTTCACATAACTACATGTATTTATTACTGAAATGCAAAAGAAAAGTTTTATTATTCATTAAAGATTTATGAAAACTATTTAGAATGTAGGTACTATGATCAATGAAGTCAATTAACCAAATTTAAGGGTAATTACAGACACTACACAATACTTTAATTTTTCACAGGTTTGTGGATGAAGTTTTTGATTTTAAGCCCTTTTCCTATCTTTTTTCAGCATATCATTTCTCGTTTCAGTTTGTCCTGATTTTTTTTTATTCTTCAGATCTCAACTTCATCTGTTACAAGCATACCATACCCAATATACTTTGAATAAATATATACACATGTAACTTTAGACAGGTGTTATGTGTAAGTAGAAAAGTCAAACCTTGAAGAATAAAGCTCACTGATATTTCTTCAATTATTTTTTCTTTTCTGTGAAGCATTCTATTTTTCTTCAAACAGTTAAATATACAATACTTTATATGAAATTGGTGTAATTTTAGTTGTTTTATTTTTTGAAATTGTTTGTAGTGTCCGTAACCAAATTACTTCCCAACTGTGTAACATTTTGAATGCAAATTTACTTGCATTTAACACATTTTAAGATTTTACCTAATAAGCAACTAAACAATTGAAGCAATATTCAAAAAAAAATATGGGTTATGTAGCTAGTGATAATAATTTCTAACTATTTTTATATGTCATTGTGGGTGTCCAATCATTATTTTAGTACTTGCAGTAAAGAAAAAACCACATGATCTAAAAGAATTCCAACTAATAAACACCTTTTTATCTCTAAATTCAATAATACACTGTTTCAAAAATTTATCTGTAAATTCCATGGAGAAAAAATAAAGATATTTCATTTTTCAACTTTTGGTTACGGACACTACACACTCTACAAGTTATTTACAATAGGATAAAACTGTACCTTAAATAAAGGAATTTCAACAAGATTTTCTTAAATGTAACACCAGTTGACTTAAACAATGAAAAAATAATGACATGCTATTTGACTTAAATCCTAGGATGTCAATAGCATCTGCCAGTATCAAGGTGATGTAACACCAAGGATCTTGTATATGAAAATGGTGCAATCTGGGTTTCCGAAATTAGTTGCAATATCAAAACGAGGGAGAAAAATAAAGTACATTGACTAACTTGTTAAATTAAAGTTTATGAAGGTATAAACTGAGTTTATACCAGGTAAACAAATAAACACTTTCATTTTCCTTAATGAGGCCCCGTAGTGGAAAATTTCCCCGTCGGGCGCCCCATAGATGACCAAAGTTTCGGAGGGAAAATATCCAGCCTCTTTCTGATAATGACGCTATGGCTGGCAGCATCGTGAATCTGTAATTTTACAAAGCTATTATAACATTTATTTACTTTCCATTTGAATTATATTCTTGGATATTTCATTACGCAGACATACTGCTTATACTGGATTTACTACACGTGTTTACCATGCGGTAGTGTTTTTGTTATGAATTATTGATCCGTGCCTTTGGACTTTGACCCCGCCATGAATCGTACGAGATCGAGATCCAGGGTTCGTAGGACAGAATCTGTTGACGATCCTAACAACTGGACAGTTGATAAATTGAAATATGAACTAAAACTTTGCGGTATAGATATTAAACATGCTATACCTCATAAAATATTAGTTAAACTGTGGCTAGATAACAAAGAAAAGAAAGACAGGGGCACCGATGGGGAAACAGAACATAGTGAATTGGCTCATAATATACCAAGCGCGGTAAGGAACGAAGACAGAAACTTAGTACAACAGTGTACTAATACCACTGAACGTGTATACGAAGTACCCGCTTCATCCATTGCTGATACTTCTGTGATAACCCATGTCAGGGCCTCATCGTACACTGACGGAAATGCGGTGCCCGAAAACGCGCATGCGCCAACGAGACCAAACATCACTGTTCCGGAGAGAAACGTAAACAATGAAAACTCAGTCTTGATGGCTACTGCCGTAGCATTACAGGAGACAGTGAAACTAATCCAGCAGTCAACTAAAGATAAAGAAGAAGAAGATTACTCGTTACGCAACTTCTACGAGAACCGAAGCAGTGCAACTTTCGCGGCCGGATCGTCAGATCAATTAACACAGACCCAAATGCAGCCGAATTTATTCAAAAGTACCATGAGGGAGACGAGTACGAGTGGCGTCCCATCCTCGGACTTGCAACATGTCATGGCAGTATCACCAACGATACGGAAAGAAATAATATCGGGTAAGGACGTTAACATGTGTAAACTTTTATTATCAAATTATATTGCCCCAAAAACCAAGAAAGATGAAGAGAAGGATGAGCGTTTGAACAGAACTTTATCCATCGGCGAATTTGTTAAGGCCTTTACAATTTATAAATCCATCATGGTCGAAACATTTCCGCAAAGGAGTAGAGAATTAGACGGATATCTGTCCCATATCATTGATGTGTATTCTACTTGGGGGCAACAATTTTACGAATATCACAAGTTGTTCTCTGCCAAAGCCTCAACAGCTCTATTACAGTATCATATTAAGGTAGACTGGGCATTGGGAGACCCTGACCTGTTAATGAGAGTCTGTGCAGGATCAAGTGTAACAAAGTGTGAAAGATGTGGTTCGACAGTACATAGCACACTTATGTGTAATGTTAAAGAACAGAAAGTTCAAAGAAAAATAGACAGAGAAGTCGACATGCACGGAAGAAGTAGACGATACCACCAGGGAAAGGAACTGTGCAACAACTATAACAGTGAAAGGGGCTGCTTTAGAACAGAATGCAAGTTCCAGCATGTCTGTTTTATATGCTACCAGGCTCATAGTGTGACGAAATGTAGAAAAAAGAAAACCGAAAGTTCACCTCAAGCCAGTGGTAAGAATACAGAATTACCACCTGCAAAATGACTAGATTTCAAAGTGTCTACACCAATAAATATTCCTCGTTTAGACAGTGAATTACACAATCATCCTGATAAAACTTTTGTAAATTATCTGATAGACAGTCTAACCAATGGTTTTGACATTCTTATAAATGAAGAAGAAATTCATACCAGTAAAGAATGTAGGAATCTGAAATCAGCTCGTGAAGACCCTCAGACAGTTGATAGTCTCATAAGGGCCGAAGTGGAGAAAGGTTTTGTTATAGGCCCTTTTACATCCTCTCCATTCAAGATACATCGAATTAGCCCAGTGGGTATAGCTGTTGGAAAATACTCAGGAAAGAAAAGGCTAATTTTAGATTTATCGTCACCCCATAACGACCCCAATCATGAGAGCATCAACAGTTTAATCGACAAAGAAAAATGCTCACTTTCGTACGTTAAAATTGATGATGCTATTCAACACATTCAAGAATATGGAAAGGGATCAATTTTATGTAAAACCGACATTCAAGATGCTTTCAAGCATTTTCCTGTGTTACCGGAACAGTGGCAATTTCTGGGTTTTAAATGGGACAAGAACTACTACTTTTGTGTTAGATTACCATTTGGATCTCGATCAAGCCCAAGGATTTTTGATAACCTTTCTCAAGCAGTGTGTTGGATTGCACAGCACAACTATGGAATACATACAATTTTGCATTTGTTGGATGATTTTCTTACAATTGACAGGCCCTCAGGTGATGGAGAAAGAACTATGTTGATATTAAAAATGATTTTCAAGAGGCTTGGAATTCCATTATCGGAGAAAAAGACCGAAGGTCCATCAACTCGACTTACTTATCTAGGGATCATATTGGATACAGAAAAAATGCAAGCTATCTTACCAGAAGAGAAAGTACAGCGTATTGCAAAATTTATTCATGAACTTTTAAGGAAAAAGTCATGCTCAAAATTGGAACTTTTACAATTGTTGGGGCACTTTAATTTTGCAACTAGAGTGATAGTACCAGGACGTACATTTGTAAGTTATCTTATAAGTCTATCCACTACAGTGAAGGAATTGCACCATTATGTTCACTTAAATCAAGAGTGCATAAATGACTTGAAAATGTGGCTTACTTTTTTATCCGACTGGAATGGGGTTTCACTTTTCTATGAGCGATATCTTACTTCTAATGCAGACCTTCATCTTTACACGGACGCGGCTTCGAATTCAGGTTTTGGAGGATACTTCGATGGAAAATGGTTCAGCGAACCTTGGCCACACAACTTGATGGAAACAACAGAGGCAAAAATGTCCATGGCATTCATGGAACTCTATCCTATAGTCGTGGCAGCAATTCTTTGGGGACACAGTTGGAAAGGGAAACGAATTCAGTTCATGTGTGACAATGAAGCAGTGGTTAAAATCATACAAAAGGGTCGATCCAAAGAAACATATATTATGAAATTAATGCGTAGTTTAGTTATGTGTTCTGTACAAAATAATTTTGTAATTTATAGCAAACATGTTCCAGGTATTTTCAATGAAATAGCTGACGCTCTTTCTCGTTTTCAGTTTCAGCGATTTCGCAATCTAGCTCCACAGGCAGACCAGAATCCAACCAAGTGTCCCCCGTTACACCAAGTTTTATGGGACTTCAAGCCGTTGTGAACAAACTTTGGGATAGAGCTATTGGTGACAAGACCAGACGTCAATACCAGATTGGCTTCCAGAATTTCTTAAGATTTGTAACGTTGATGAATTTAACTTCATATAATGGCCTGCCTATCGTGTGTGAAAAAGTGTTTATACAATATGTCAGTTATTGTCATTCTGAGCTGCAACTAAGTTATTCAACTATCAAACTATATTTAAGTGGCATACGATACATATATCTTCGGATGGGTGGTTTTAACCCCTTAGAAAGTAATGGGAAACCACTACAAGGTTTACAAACCATTTTGTCAGGAATTAAGAAATCACAATGTAATAGAGACAAAAGAATTCGATTGCCTATTACCATAGATATTTTAACAAATTTGTGTTTGTTGCTTGATCAAGGACTTTTTGATGAATTTACAGATAGTATGCTTAAATCTGTTTGTACTTTAGCTTTTTTCGGTTTCTTAAGATGTGGAGAATTTACCATTGATGACAAATTTGTTGCAGCAAATCATTTATGTATCGATGATTTAAAAATTTTTGAAGATCATTTGGTTCTGACTCTCAAAAGATCTAAGACAGATCCTTTTAGGAATGGCGTTTCCATTCCAATTTTTGCTAATCAAACTATTGTATGCCCAGTGAAAGCTATGAACAAATACTTAAAAAAGAGAAGCTTTAGGGCAGTTCAGGAGGAACCATTGTTTATACAAAGTGACAATAGTGCTTTATCTCGTAATGTTTTTATCCAGAAAATGAAAATTATGTTAGATAAACTTGGATTAGAAAGTAAAAATTACAATGGTCACTCTTTTAGAATAGGGGCTGCAACCACAGGGTCAAAAGTAAGATTGGAAGATCATTTGTTAAAGACCCTTGGTCGATGGTCATCCGACTGTTACACAACATATATTCAAACCCCTTTAGAGATTATTAAAGATGCTCAGATAGCTATGTCAAAGGATAAAAGATCGTAAATGTTTTGTGTGTACCCAAATGTATATATCATGTATATATGTAGATTTCTTTTCTTTTTTTTTCCCTTTCCTTCTTTCCTTTCGTTTTGTTAAAGAAGGAAATGGAGCTACAATGTATTTTAGTTTGTACATGTATAAAATATTGACAGTGCACAATGCAATTAACTTTAGCTATGGATTGAAGTATGTTTTCCAAGTATTGATTTCATGCTACAGAATTACATGTTTACAACACACACAGTAAGTATGGCATACCTTCTAAAAATAATACAAGTGTTTGATTACATCAAGTAATTAAGTACTTCATTACATACAGATATGCTGACGCACATTTACACAAGTATTTACATACTGCACATATTCCTTTGTGTGCTTACGCACAATTACATCAAGTACTTACGTACTTTCACGATTCCTTATGTGCTTATGCACATTTACACAAGTACTTACGTACTGTACATATTCCTTTATGTGCTTACGCACAATTACATCAAGTACTTACGTACTTTCACAGATTCATTAATGTGCTTACGCACATTTACACAAGTACTTACGTACTTTACATATTCCTTAATGTGCTTACGCACAATTACATCAAGTACTTACGTACTTTCACAGATTCATTAATGTGCTTACGCACATTTACACAAGTACTTACGTACTTAACATATTCCTTAATGTGCTTACGCACAATTACATCAAGTACTTACATACTTTCACAGGTTCTATGTGCTTACACAAAGTATGTCTCTTCATTCTTATGTATTTATGTACATTACATAAAGTAAGCATATTACCAAATAATACACGGAAACTTACCAAATACATAACAGGCATAGTTTGAAATATTTCATTTGTCTTTACTGTTGACATGGAATGTTGTTTATTATATGAAACTATATGACATATTGCATGGAATTTAAATATATTGGTATAGTTAGTCATGCATACTTAAGCAACAGTTTTAGGAGAGTCAATTACTATATCATCTTGGGGACAACAGCTGACACTGTTTTTGGACTATTCATAAAAAATTATAGTAAAATTTTTTATTTCTTATCCCCAAGATTTAAGGGGATGTTAGTTTGCTTATGTTTTATGTAGTTGCATATGTATTAATTAGCAAATTTATGTTTTAGCAGTTCTCTTTAATGGTTGTCAGTTGTTGATCCCAAGTGCCAACATTTAGATTGTTTTTTGTAATAAAATATAAACTAATTTACATATTTGTTTTCTTTGGTATAAATTAAAGTTTATGAAGGTATAAACTGAGTTTATACCAGGTAAACAAATAAACACTTTCATTTTCCTTAATGAGGCCCCGTAGTGGAAAATTTCCCCGTCGGGCGCCCCATAGATGACCAAAGTTTCGGAGGGAAAATACCCAGCCTCTTTCTGATAATGACGCTATGGCTGGCAGCATCGTGAATCTGTAATTTTACAAAGCTATCCACCACCTTCCCCGCCACTCTCCAAAAACTGTTTGCCATGGGGTTAACAATTAGATTATGTTTATTCAAATTGGACTATTCATAAAAAATTATAGTAAAATTTTTTATTTCTTATCCCCAAGATTTAAGGGGATGTTAGTTTGCTTATGTTTTATGTAGTTGCATATGTATTAATTAGCAAATTTATGTTTTAGCAGTTCTCTTTAATGGTTGTCAGTTGTTGATCCCAAGTGCCAACATTTAGATTGTTTTTTGTAATAAAATATAAACTAATTTACATATTTGTTTTCTTTGGTAAATTACAAAACATCTCAGCATCTATATGAGATGTCTATCTAGGAAATTAGTAAAGATATTTATAGAACTTTCCAATTTCACAGAATGAAAGTGGTTACGGACACTACAGTTTTTTTGTAAAACCTTAATTTTCCACATTAAAACATGATGAAATTTCATTTCAATTGTTACATTTACCCAACTTTTTTCTGTAAGTAACAGAGCATTAATACTGTGATTTTATACAGAAATCTGAGAAAATAAATGATATGGACATTATTTTTATTTGGCATAATGAGAGGGGTGAAATTTTGTCAAAAATGTATAACATTGCACCCCTATTACATTTTCTTTCATATCTTCAAAAGTTGTCATTCAATCCTGAAAATTCAAGCACCAAAATGATTTGTAAAATAAATTCTAAAGTCTTATAATGATCAGTGGCATGAACATTTATGATATATAACAATAATTTCAATTGAAAATGGTGTAATTTCAAAGCGCAACCGCATAACGCTAAAAAAGGGTCATTTTTGGGGTACATTTATTGCATTTACTTAAATTCTGTTAAAGTTAGATCAACAAAATTTTGCACACAAGTCCTTTATAAGTATGCCTATAAATGAATTATGATAAATTACATGTAAGGAAGCTAACATTTCTAAAAATTTTGTATAACAATGTGGTATTCTTAATGCGCCCTATATTGTGTTTCACCCGTATATACCTGATTTGTGTAGTTGAGTAACTGTTACAAGTTCATGATGAATGCTAATGTAACAGTTATAAAGAGCAAGAGCCATCTTATACATTAAATGGCCCTGTACTTGTATCAATTAATTAACTGTCAGTCTCTTTCCCAATTCATATAACAAAATGAAGTAGACACTTGGTGCATTCATTTTCAATAACAAAATTTTGTTTTTGAGAATTAATCTGAGCACAGCCCATGATCCCAAAAATAAAACATGCATTTTAATTCTCAGGAAAAGAGCTTTCATTATGTATTTGCATATTTTGGATCAGAGGTCGTGCTCTATATGAAATATTGAAAAATGCATTAACTTTAGGTCTTTTCCAAAGGAATTTACAGGGTATGAGGAAAATGATGCATTTTATGACCTCATAATGCATTGACTAGAATTACGTCACGATTTAGATATGTGGTCACCAACACTCCAAGTGCTAAATACTGCAATTGCAACCTATACTGAGCAGTTTTGATTTTTCAGAAATTCTAAGGGCCAAGTAAGGCCCAAAGTGGCTCTTGCTCTTTAAACAATTTTACCTAATTGCTATTTCCTGCTTTGCATTTATGTAAAAGTAACGATGTTCAACATTTTTTGAAAATTTCAGGTCAGGCAGAAGAAAAGATACTAAAGATGACCACTACATAAAGGCTTCAGAGTGGAAAAAAGTGGAATCTGGAGAAAAAATGCCTTTCTTCTTCCACAACAAAGAGAAGAATCGCCATGAGGTGAAAATTGTTCTGATGTTTATTACTTTCTTATAACGGGATGTATTTGTCAGCTTGCTGATAACTTGTACAGATTAAAAATTTAGCCTGATCTGTCTATTACAGAAAACTCATGAGTTGAGCATCAATCAGCTGGTTGTGAAGGTGGATGGGTGGATGAAGCTGTCCAATGTGTCGGTGGATCGTGTGGGGGTGTACTTCAGACATGCTGAACCTGATGTCTCACAGGCCAAAGGACTGGCTGGGGTAAGTGCAAACTTTTGATGTGTCATTTTTAAATCAAGGTCACCTTATTTTCAGCAAGTTCAAGGTCACATACAATTACAAGAATTATATTGACAATTTCGAAATTAGTATAGTATCATTTTTTTAGGTCACTCACAGAACTCTACGTTTTTCTAAAAGCTGATATCGATTTTTCCTTATTTTTCAGTTAACATACAGTTCTAAACATGACCCCTCCAGACAGAAGCAAGCAAGACTTGTGTTTGACGTCAAACAGGAAGGAAAAGCTCGTAAACTGATAACGGTCAGATCTGCCCTGATTGTCCGTAATGAACTGGACTCCAGCATTGACCTTAAAATGGCCACACACTCAGGCTTGGAAGGTAGCTGTCTGTAAAAACTTGGTCATATAACATGTACCGCCATATCAGTTTAATTTCTTGTTTGTCTAACATTTGATGAAAAAAAGTATGAGTTGGCTAGCGGTTAAATAATAATACTTATTTTTTTAATTTTTTTTTTTAGAGTTTTAGGCGGAGCTTGAAAAAATTTGAGCGGACATTTATATTTTTTCTAATTTACAGAGTTAGAGATAAATAGGGCAGAAATCGAACAGAAAATATCGCATGGAAGTCCAATGTGTGATATAACCTGATTTTCATATGATTGCTTTCCTTTGATTACTTTCATTTGTGGAAATATTTTATCCACAGTGAATTGATTAACCCTTATCGTGCTAATCGCGGCATTTGCCGCGATCGGCAACTTTACGTTCAGTGCTGGTCGCGGCATAAGTCGTTTTTGAATATCGGAAATTCCCATTCCTATTTTAAGAATAAAAAACCATTGTACAAACTATTTTTGTGATGGTATTTCGTAATATCCGTTTTACACACCGAAACACTGTTTATAAGCCCTGATTTCATTGGTTGAAAGTACAAAAGCTCATCAAAAAGACGCAGGTTGTATTCCTTGTTTACTTCAGTTACAAAAATGGCGGAATGTATCGACAATGACGATTTATTCCTAAACAACGCCGAATAACCGCATTTATTTTAAATTATCTTGTTAATTTGAAAAAGATATTGCTTTTGAGTGCTTTGAGTATGTTCGTTTTATTAATTTCAACGAATTTATACCGGAGATGTAGATATATTAGTTGGATAAAGTTGGTGTTATGCAGACGACGATATACACGAGAACTGGGACGTTGTGGACACGTCTCCGAAATAAAACGTGCGAATTTGAGTTCTTTGTTCTTGTTTAGTATTTTCCTTTTACAATTATTCACACCATTGAAATAAATAAACATAAATAACTGAATATTTTCTCTAGTTTCTTGGTAAACGAGGTTTACCTGACGTACCTGTCTTACCTGAGCGTACCTGTATCACAGTAGATATATGTATAGGAAAAGGTGATGAAATGTCATCGTATCAAAACTGTTTTTGATTGAAAGAAATCGTATTTGTTTTAAAAGAATGAAATTTTAGTGTAGTTTTGTGTAGAATGCACATGCATTACCTTTTCTTACCTGTAACTTACACAGGTGAGTTTTTAGAATGAATCTGATAATGGAGTGACATTTGTACTGATTCAAACTATAAAAATTATATAAGGATTATGGATGTATCTTAAGAAATAAAAATTCTACTGTAATTTAAAGACACTAATATTTAAAAAATGATTTTATTGTTTTATGCAGCACCCTGTTATAACATTATACAAATATTATAAAGCATGATAAGGGTTAATAAATTGTATATTGTGTAACGTCCCTTTTGAGAATTTTTCACTCAATAGAGATGCCACCACTTGCCGGTGAAGAGGTACAAATTTTGTCCTATTCTCGGCACTCAGGGCCATTGAGCAGGGAGGGATCTTTTTCGTGCCAACACCTACTGCGACACCGGACCACGGTATATATGGTCTCATCTGAAGGACCAGTCTCCATGTTCCACAGTGGGATGA